CAATTTATTGTAGCATCACCATGTAAATTATCTAATAATCAATTTGATACTATAGAAGAAGATATTGTTTTATCAAACAAACATACAGGTTTCTATCATTTAGAAATCATAAATGAGAAAAAAAAAGAAAATTCTAATTTTAGGTCTATGGAGAGTATTATTAAAAGCAACACCAAGACGAGACAATCATATTCATCGATTGACTACAAAAGATATTGAAACGATCTATAAAAAAGATCTTCAAAATCAACGTACATTTCCTCGATCATATATTTCTACAAAAAGAATTGAAGCATTTGAACTTCATGATGGCACTAATGGTAAATTAATTTATATATTTTTTTGTATTATCATCTCTGCGTTTTCCTTTCTATTATTAAGATTCAAGTATTTTAAATGGATATCGAACAGAACGACGTATGATATACATCGAAGAAAATGTTGAATTTCAAATTGATGATATTGGTGAAATTGAATATACACCAACGGAAGGTGAACGAACATCACAAGATTATATAATGATACCAAAAACGAAATCAAATACAATCTTACAATTTCTTATACCAAATATTCAAGAACAAGAAGAAGTAATTCGTAATCGTGTTTTACGTTCATTATATTGTACTATAAAAAATAAATCATATAAACGTAGTTTTCTACTTGAAGTTAATGAACAACCATGTGATATACATCCAATTGCTTCTGATGGATCAACAGAATTACGTTATCTTCATTCAACGCAAAATCTCTTTGATTATATGTCGAAATATGAAAATGATATATCGATTTATGTTAAATTAATTCGTGGTAAAGAGAAATTTATTTAATTGTATTATATTATTATTCTTTTTTAAGGTGATTTACCAACAAAAGCAATTGATTATGATGGGTATATGGTATTCAAAAGTGTATTAAATGGTGATACAATTCCTATATGTTCTATTGAAGATCTTCAGATAACTCTAACGAATCCTAATCTTCCTGTTCAAGTTAAACTTCCAATCGATAATGAAGCATGGTATTCATTACCTAAAATTCATGCCGCTGAACTTCAATGTATGCAATTAGCTCTTGCATTACTTGCTCGACATGAATCAGACATATATATTACAGATAAAGTTGGAAAAACTATACCTGATTTCTTACAATCAACTAACGATCAACAACGATACACTCCATTAAGACAATCATCAGATACAATGAGAAATCATCTATTGAAACATAAATCTGAAGATGATTTACGTTCTGACGAGAGAAAAAAAATATTATATGAACAACCAAAGATTTTTAAATCACAAACACCAACATTAAGTAGAGCAGCACCATTTTTTCATCCTGCTTCCGATCAACTTTATCGAAATGAAGAAAAACGTTTGTTATTAGCTAATTTAAAAGCAAGTCAACAATACTTAAAAGAAAAAGAAAAACGTAATCAAAATGCCCGAAAGACTGCTTTAGATAGATCATTTTTATCATCCATATTTTCTACAAGCAATAGAAGGACAAAAAACAAACATGATTCGAAATAAAAAAAGTGCAACAAAAAAAAATAAAGAAACAAAACGTACTCAAATGATTTCCTTTTTTGTTTTTTTAATGTCTTGTTTTTTTGTAAAATAAAAGTGCATTTTACTAATCAAATATTATTGTATATACGAGTTTTACTAGCGTTTGTTAGAAAAGAAGAAAAGAAAAAGGCGTATTTTTGAAAATATTAGAGTATTTACGCGTCAAAATTCACACTTTCATTGGTAGAAAAAAATCAAAGAATAACAGAATTTATAGTCGACGATTATTAATTGTACTTTCGTTTTCTTTCTATGCGTTACTATATAAACAACAACTCACTGTCAAGCAACGAATATTAAATTTTGATTCAATCAAAGAGTATTGCACATCCGTTTTTTTCTCTTTCAAGTTTATAAAAAAAACATTTCATTTCGAAATTCACTTAAACCATCATCATGCTACGCGATATTACATCAAATCCATGGCAGTAAAGTTAAATTTTTTTATATAGATTAAAACTTATTTTCATCTTCTTTAGAATCGATAATTCAGATAGTGAAGATGAGATTGATCAGCGACTTTATCGACGTTTTTCATTCTCACAATCATTACCAACACCGACGGTAAATTAAACAAGATTTCATATAAATATATATATGACGATCTTTTTTTTTCTTTCAATTTGAAGCTATTAACAAGACAAAGTTTACCAAGAATGGCTGATTGGGATCCGATTGTAATTGAGCGAAGACATAAAAGTATGTTTTCTATAATTTATTGATCGTATTTTTAATTATTATCATGTTCAATATAGGAACATTTGGTCGTCGAAAAACAGCTCCATCATATGAAAATACACCTGCAGATAATAAACCAATCTTTTATGGAACACGAGATTTAAAATCATCTCATTCTGTATTAGTACGAAACCAACGTAATAAACCCATGGTTGCAACTACTTTTGATACTCCTCCAGTATGTAGAAATATATTTAATTTACATATGTCTCTGATTATTTATCTTTATAATAATTAGGCATCTCCTCCAACAGTTACTTTAGATTTTAATCCAATGTTATATCTTCAAGAGAATTTAAATAGCTTTATTTATACACACATCCCAAAAGATCATCCGTCATTTATTCATTGTACTCTTCGACGTGATAAAACTGGTTTACAAAAAGGATTTTTTCCAACATACTATTTACATATTGAACGTCTCACAGATGGAAAAAAGGTTCGAATTTGAAAGAAATAAACAAGGAAAAGAAAAAAGTTTTTTGATTTTTATTTAGACATTAATATTAGCTGCACGAAAAGTAGCGAAAGTAAATCGTCAAAATGAATATGTAATCTCAACAAATATTGAAACTTTATCTAACAAATCAGGTGGTGATGGATGTGTTGGAAAATTACGAGAATGTCATTTAACAGGCAGTCAATATACACTATATGATAATGGTCTTAGTGCAAATAAACTTAGAAATAAACATCCTGAAACTCAAAAGACTTTACGACGTGAACTAGCGGGCATTATTTATGTAAGTATTAACTATTAATGAAAAGATACGGAAGTTTGATTAATTTAAATTTATTTTAGAATAGCAATATGTTTGGTTTGAAAGGATCAAAGCAAATGAATGTTCTAATACCTAAACTCGAGCATGCTGTTCAACCGATAAAGGTATGTATTATATATAAAAATTTTATTTAAAAAAATATCTTTTAAATAAATATTAGAATGAGGATACAATTATTGGTCAATGGCAAGAGCAAAAATTCAATCATTTACTTCAATTACGAAATCAACCACCAAAACATGACGAAAGTAAATATAAAATTTAAAATTTTCATTTCTTATTCATTGTTTCATTTTGTATTTCTTTAGCAACAAATGTTCATTTACTTCAATTCGAAGGTAATCGTCCAGTTCGACCATCAACTAAAAATTTTAATATAGTTCTCGAAACAGAAAACCGTAAGTCATCATATATATGTTCAATTAAAATATATTTATATTGTTCTATGGTATAATATAGATCAAGAAGAAGTTGTTATGCAATTCGGTCGTATCGATGAGGATACATTTACATGTGATTATCGTTATCCATTATCGGCTATTCAAGCTTTTAGTATTGCACTCAGTTCATTTGATAGACGACTTGCACGAGAATAAATATATGTATACATATATTTTTTTTAATGTATTTAAAGTTTATTTTTATAATTCATATGTACAGTTTTAATTATCTTCACCTTTCCACTGATAGCCCACTATCAATAAAGAATAGATAATCAAATTTCTTTTTTTTCTTTGTAAAAATATTTACTTGAATAAGATTGATCTTCAGATGAATGATGTGAGAGAA